GGACATAAAGTATAATAACAACATCGTTTTATTCCTAGTAAAGACATCACTGTAAATTTAATATAATAAACAAAAATTGACAAATACTCTTTATATTTCTTTTTTTTTTGTTCATTATTCATTCGTTCTAGTCGTATATAGTAAAGAAAACATTAATACTTTTCTCAAACAAGAAAAATTATTATTTTCATTGCACAATTATAGTGAACAAAAGAAAGTCATTCGTTTCACTCAATCTTAATCAACAGAAAAATTTCTCTTACGTCGAGAGTTCGTTCTAAAACTTTTTATTCAAAAAACTGTTTTAAAAATCTTCAAAGAAGATCGTTAATAATATTTACTTTTAATAATCACGATTGTTTCTTCTCGTGTATATATATATATATATATATTGTCATTGACGTCGAATCGGTTAAAAATAGAGAGGAAATAAATAAGTGATCCGTAAATATTTTATGATAATGGTCTTTGAGGTGATGATGCGTCTAAACAGAAGATCTTTTTAAGCTTAACATAAAACATAAGCGAAGTAAAAAGATGCAATCAACCGATATTTTTGATCATACATAAACACATTTCAACATATCATTTTAACATTAACCACTAGTTATATCACAAACTTTATCTCGTTCAACTAAATAGCAAAAAAAAAAAGAGAGAAAAAGACTGAGTTATTTATTCTAATCGATCTTTTCGTTCGTTTATTTTAAGCTGAAAATGAGACTCGGTAGTTCATCAAATATTAATAAAAAAACAGATTATCTATAGCTTTTTTCTTTATAACAATCTTTATTGATAGATTTTTTGACTGTAAATGTAGAAATAGAAATGTAGTCTTATTCATTGAAAAGCAAAAAAAGCATGATATTTTCATTTTATTTCGATCAACCGTTCAATAAATAGACTATAGAATTAAATCGACTTTTGCCGTGATGAATGAATGAACAAACATGCAAGCAATTATTTTCTATTGTTTTCATGTCTTAGATACTCTTATAGTTTTTGAGTCTACAGAAAAAAATATACTTTATTAAATAATATAAAACTAAAGCTTTCTTCCCAGTTCTCGTTATTCTAGTAATAACCTGGTTCTATCCGATAAAATTTTCTATCACGGAGGGACAGGTATGTTTATATCGTACTAATTGTCACCCAGTCACCATTGTACGTACTCTGTACATTTAGGTTAGTATGTCTATCGAAATCAAAGAAAGAAAAACAATTTAAAGAATAGAATAAACATACAATAACATAAATAAAAGGAGAAAAAAAAATTTTCATTCAGGTTAGGCTTTGTGTGTGTAGTTTTTTTTTCTAGTCAATGTTCTTATTATAACCGGTTTCTCAAGACAATTATTTATAGATACATATTCAGTATAAAAGAAAAAACGTTGATTTCTTTCAAATAGAAAAAGAACATTCAAAAAATTATTCCTTATCACTCAACTTGAGCATATGATAAGCACAAAATAAGAGACTTTCAACTATATTCATCGAAACTTATTTCTTCTTACTAGAACGGATTAATTGTGCAACAATAATCTCTAGTTTGAAGAAAAAGAACACGAATACACGAAGTATGGATGCACGAATTAACACTGTCTCCTCTTTTAAGTACCTGCTCTTTTCTGGAAAGAAAAATGATTAATCTAATTTTTTCAATGATCAAGCAAGCAATGTTCTTCATCCATAAAAAAAAATAACAATAAAAATTGCGTGTTTTTTGCAAATCTTTTTCAAATTGATTATAACTACAAAAATTGAAGAATCAGATGAATTTTTCGTATTAAGTAACAACAACAGAAAAACATATTTCTAACTAATTTACTCCTAAATGCGGTGACAACTCAAGTAGTATGGATATCTTATATCAATGTGTGAAATGAATCAAAAACATATCTTTTGAAGTAATTTGACCTGCACATCCGTAAACATAGTAGATATATATTAATGTAACGCAAATTAACAAATACACATAAAGAAAACGTTAATAATCTACAATACATACTTGTATGAATAAAAAAGAAAGAGAAGTAAATTCTAATATAATAAGTTCCGCTAAGATAATTGTTGTCACTTTGTAAAAAAAAAAAGAAGAAATCGTTTATATGGATAAGTTTATTTTCTTCTGACATTTTTCCCAACCTTTATCTTGCTTGCTTCTTTTTCTCTGAACTTCTTTGTCTTTTAATAGATTGTCAAAGCTATAGCTTCTCTTATTTCTTTTTATGTTTGGTATATGTATAAGAAGAAAGTACATTGGACAGTGTCTACAAGAAAATGGTCACTCTCACAAGCATCTAGAGAAAATAATAAAAGTACTTGTTTTGTATCTTTCTTGACTATTGTCTTAAGGCTAGTTTTACTAATATACATAGACAAATATACACAGATAGTATATAACTAGAGGTGAAGAAAGGGAAATGTAATCAACTACAGGGTAGTATAGCAATTATCTTCTGTAGCGGTAATCAGACTGTACATTGTTTTCCTATTCGATATATGTTGAATGATATATAAACAACTTGAAGAAATGGCTTATTTAGAAGAAAAAAAACGGAATTAGATATCAACACATTTCTGTATAAACAAATCATTTTTTGACATTCCAAAACTTTGTAGAATAATTAACTCATATATTCTTCTTTGATTTTTTAAGCGATTTGCACGACAACTGACTTTCCTCTTTTGACTTGATTAAAAAATCTCTTAAGCGAGACCTGTGTATGAATTCGATGAGAAAGTTTTATGTATACAATATTCGAAGAAATACTTATAGTCTTTCTAAACTGCATTCCAACAAGGGAATTATCTTAGGATATGCATCTTGCTTTTATTCTCCTATTTTACGTTAACACGGACGGGTCTATCCATATATGGTTTCTAGATACCTGCCTTCTATACGAGCTGCATTCATTCTACTTTCGTAACAGATGAAGATTGTCTGTTTTGATTTGTGCTTATTATTCTTCATAAAAAAATGAGGACTTTTAAAACAAATCCTTAAATTTTTCTTCAACTCAACCACTAAGCTTGGTACTCAACTGCTGTAGATACTATCGTGGTCCTATAGTGAACAAAACTATAAATTCACTTCAAGTTTCTAACTGTGTGTAAAAAGAAAGATGTATCATTCTAGCTTATTTTTTGTTTTGTCTTAAAGATAGACGTAGCCGACTAATTTACAAGCCACTTACGCCTCTTATTTTAAGATGAGTTTCTCCTTAAAGTATATATTTATGAGACGCTTGAGTGACATGTCCGTTTAAATATATCTGAACTACATGGATTTTTCATCTATTTATATACAGATCTCTAATTTACATCTCCTGCTACAATTCTATATATGGTTTTGTTTTTTCTCCAGTGATGTTTTGGTTTACCCCAAAACCTTTTTTATTCAAATCATCGCGTGTCACTAGAACAGATGAACGATAAAGATATTATCGAATTCTCTCGTCAAGTTTATGGAGAACGAAAAACCAATGAAATTTGCACCTGATGCTAAAATTACTTACAGTAAAATAAAATTAACTTCTTATGTTCTTTGATTCCTTCACCCACAAAAACAGATGTCACCACATATATTAATTTATCGTTCAACTGCGGTATTTTAACACGGAAGAGGACGCTTTTCTGTAGTTCCTCCACAGTAACATCTTAAACATTGTGAGAGTAAAGAAACTTAGAGTAACAGGCGATGATGAATGCAAATTTCTTCACATGTTACAGAACTACACTTCAAACTCAAAAATTACTGGTATTGGATGTGAAAATCAACGTTTATAATGAGACTCTCTGATTTTTCTCTCCAAATAACTAATGTTGAGTACGCAACTGCATGGAGTTCAGTCAAATACAAAATTTCTTCCAAGATATCAGAGATCTATTGATTGTGTGCACGATCTGTAATGGATCTAGTTGTATTAAAGCCACTTGAATGGCTTTTAATCGTGAAATAACATAATAATATTATTTATAACAGTCTTTTGAATGAAGACGTGTTTTACTTGTATATGAGCACTTGATATAGAGCTTATCGACGCTTATCGATGTTTATTCAACGACTATATTTTTTTAAACACTTCACATTCACATACAGTTTTATTTATTCATTCAAGCAAATATCTCGTCTGGGAAACGTTGATGGTTTGATATTGAGTAACTAAATACATATTAGATCAGAACTAAACAGTTTAATAACATAGCGAAAGAAGAAAATTGTTTAATAACAATATAGTCTTTGGGGTATGTGAGAAAGGAAAACAACAGAATGAGATAGTGATTAGTTTCTTCCTTAGTAACTATACCCATTAGCGATAGAAGAGAAAGAGGAAGGACGTGTTTTCATGAGAATTTGATTGTGAGTGCTCATGATAGTAAACGTGTGGTTGTGAGAATATCTATATCACATGGTATACAATAGAATTACCAATATTTTATTTTATATCTGAAAAGTTGTCTCTAAGAACAAAGACAATCTATATTATGTCTGTGTATGTGATACGACAACACAAGAATAATGTGAACAGATCCGAATACAAACATCGGAATAACTACATCAATTTCAGGAAAGCTACTATTTTATTGAGTCAGTTGATCTTAGACAACATTCAGTACAGTTGTTTCTTGTTTTAGTCTACTTTAATTTGACTGTTTCTTCTCAACGATCAAATGTTTTATTATCAGTGCAAAATGGCTCAAAAAAATTGATCAAACAATTTTTTAAACCATATGTGTACTTGGCAATTGATCGTCGTTTAGACTCCCTCCTACATTTTAATTAATGACTAAATACATATATATTCTCACATATATTATACAGAATAAAAGTTTCTCTCTTCTAGAGAAAGCGAAACGGAAAAAATAAAAGAGAGAGAGAGAGAGAAAAAAACATTTACATATATATGTCCATATAACATTAACATTCTATATATGAATTCAGTGAAGGACATACTCTTTCACTCATATATTTGACAATCTATCATAGTTTGTTAGAAATGTTGTTGTTAGAAACAGATAAAATTAGTCGTGAACTATTCAATGCTATTGATGAAAATGATGTATATAAAGTAAAAACTATATTATTATCATCGAAAGTACTCCAACATAATTTTGATTATTATGAAAAAGATGAACAACCAATTTTACATTATTGTTGTCTAAAAGGAAATTTAGAATTAGTTAAATTATTTGTACAAATGGGTGCTAATCAATATGTTCCAAATCGATTTGGATGGTTACCATTACATGTTGCTATTTATCTAGAATTTAAAGATATTACTCAATATTTATTAAATTTATCAAATGATTAAATTTTTATTATATAAAATGAATGTTTCGATTGTATTTGTCCCAGTGCTATGGAACTCTGTTTTGGTAAGTGAACAATATTATTTTGCTCGTTTTTTCATTATACACAGCAGTTTATACCTTTAACCAAGATTTATGCCATGCAAAATTTATGCAAAGAAAGCGAGAAGATATCGTACATGTTCAAACTTCTGAGGCTATTTCAATCGAAAAAATGGATCGATTGCTTCTGCAATAAAAAGCGTTTAAGGTGCGCGTATTTTTGAGTAAGGCTTGGGTTTTTTTATACTATCGACATGTGTTTTAGACTCAAAACAAAGACAGACGGAGATGTGAAGTATTATGATTACCGCCATTCTCTCCCATGATGTTATAATAATTACTCTTTCAAATTATACTTTCTTTTATCATCAGCACAATTAACACCTATTCTTCTATTCTTTTTCTTTTATTGCATAATCAGACAAATGAAATGCAATTAAAATACACTTGGGATCTTAAGTATCAGATGGTCATTTTATATTTATAATTACCTCATTTTCTTCAAGAATATTCTTGAATAATAAATAGAAAGGAAACAGGTGAAACCTGAAAAGAAACTGTTACTCTTACCTTGCAACTGTAAATCGCATGAGGGTTTATGTCATTGACATATATGACCGAACTGAAAAATGATTCATTATTTTTATGTGACGTATAATTGATTTTACTGTGTGTCTGTGTATGTGTATTTGTTCAATGAGAATATTTGATGTTCAACTGTTGATTATTTAAATTACTTCTCATCTTTCTGATCGACTTTGATTGCATCATGACATATTCGGCGACAGTTTTTGACTGTTCTCATTTAATTATAAGCGCTCTCACTCTCACATATTGTACATCGTAAGAAAAGTTGTAACAAACTAAATCACACATTGTTTCTGTTATTTAATCAAATATTGAAGCGGATAATTACCGTAATTTGAACAATCACACTTAAGAACATCTAAACTGAATTTTTCTCTTTTATTTTAGAAACAAAAAATAATAAACGGTGAAAATAACAGTGATTAATATTAGAAGAAGAATATGTTTTTTTTTATTAATCAATCAATCACAGGCTTGATATTCCAATATATGGTTCGATGAAGCATGTGTCAATACCGATTACTTTTCAGAACTAAAAAATATTGCTAGATTGTAATTTTTGATTATTTTGTCTCAATAAAAGCTATTGTAGATTGAATCTAATTTTAATGCTATCCGTTTTCCACAAGTATTATGTATTAAATCACATCAGAAGTGGTTTTTCAGATTTCTGTTATATCTCCTATTGCTATTAGGAGACAGCTATCATTTTTTTCCAGCCAATGTTTTTTATTATTGTATTAATATCGTGTACCTTTTATGTATAGAAAAGCGATACAATCACTCAAGAGCTTTTCGACACTATATAGAAACACTTTTAAATGAAGACTGATATTTAAACATGTGTATTTGATTGTACCTTTCACTTTTGATTTTTTTTTCTTTCTTTGCATCTAAGAGCCGCTCGTGTGTGATCAATTGGCACATTTATTGACGATAAGATAACAACTTATAGAGAAAAATGAATTCAAACTATGCCGCTCAATTTTATACATGGTAATAAAATACACTCTCTTCAAAGATGTGTTTAATACTCATTTTCTCATGTCGAATAATTGGCATTTATGTTTTAAAAATGTCTCATGTTTTCACACAGAAAAAAAGCAAAGACGTTGATCGTTTTTTATAACAACATAACTTTCAAGGTCATTAAACGTGTTTTAAATTTGAGTAGTAACATCAGATTTCTATGTATACAATATTTTCATTTTAGCGTAGGTTACATGAAGTCAAAATCGTGTAGACTATATGCTACGCTTTTAAAAGTCATTAGAGTCGTGGAACTTCGTTCATATATGTCCATGAAAAACGTAATTATTACGTTCTAATCGAAATACTGCGTCGCATTTTCAAAATGTACTATTAGCGAAATCCAATTTTGTTTTGAAAGTTACCAATTTTTACAGAAAAATCAAGAAACTTCGTTGTTTGCAGACTTAACGATTGAATTTCAACGGAAGATTAATGATTGTGGTATTCAAGATGATATGAGCGTTATATAAGTTTTTAAAAATTATTTATTATCGTAAGAATTAGAAGGAAATAGGAAGTATTGTCACTGCATCAAAAAACAACTTAGTAATAGGTAGAATCAGTGTACTGTACGTAACAGAGCTCCGGATGAGTCCATACAGAGTCCATACGGAGCTCTGGTACGTAATTAACAACACAGATACATAAAAGGTAGTGATTTTTATCTATATCACTTACTACTCTAGATATAAATTTTCATGGTTTTAGAAGAACCTTTTTAGGAAAACTGGAAAATGCTTGGATTGGTCTTAAAATGGTGAGAACGCTTGCGGCTATGATGTAAAAGATCTGGAGTTTTGATTTTTGCCTTAGTTTTTGAGAAAAACGAAGATTTTTGAAAAATTGATGAAATGTTTTTCGAACTTTTGAAATAAAACCTACAGTACAAATAAAAAAAAAAAAAAAATTTCGCTCGGCCAAGTCATAGTCACAGGTTTTCCCATCATCTTAAGAACAATCCGAGCTTTTTAGTAATTAAAACAGAAGAGAAATCTGGAAAATGCAACGCCTACTTTTTGGCCTATTATACTATTTCTCAGATAACTCTGGAAAAACTCAAGTTTTCAAGCTTAAATGTTTAGCCTGATCTAATCCGGGCAAGGTTAACAGTCCATAACAATTTGGTGAGTATCTAGCGTTTTGTGTTGAAAATAGCTTTTTGTTAGAGAGAGCCGTTAAAAGAAGTGTTTTTATATTAGAGAAAACTCTAGATGTGCCCTAACTTCTCATGTTCAATACAAAATTCCTATCAACAAATAATAAAAAAGCATCTTTATCATTGATTTTTTTTCTAAATAAAAAAAATATATATAGTCGTGAAAATAACACGTAGAATGCCATATCTATTAAACGAATTAATTTAACGTTATATCCTATGAGTTAAAATACTAACCCATGTCGTCAAAACCAAAAACCTTTTTTTTTGCGTTATTCAAGCGAATAACGCAAAAAAGAATGCAAAAACATAAGTAGCGTAACGCAAAGAATGGTTGCAAATCCGAAATTCTGCATATTCTTCTAGAACAAAATATTTAAAAAAGTCTGTATTAATCCGACTAATACAGAATTTTGTAAATATTTTGCTCTAGAAGAATACGCAGAATTTTGCAGAATTTCGGATTTGTAACCATTTTTTGCGTTACGCCACTTATATCTTAGCACTTTTTTTTGCGTAACTACGCAAAAAAAATTTTGCAATTTCTACATGGGAAAGACATTTCATTGTGCTTTATTTTTTCTAGAATGTATGGGAGAGTTAGGAAAAAACTAAAAGGAAATAACACGTAAACAAAAATAAAAATAAAAAGAGAAAACAAAGTGCCAAAATCAAACAACAAAAATGTTAGTTTGAATACATCAAGAGAGAGAAACAACAAAAATACAGTAAAGACGTATGTACATCTTAATGTACATACTGAAGGAAAAACGAGAACAACAAAAATATAACAGCTGGCTAAACAGAAAACAGAAGAATCTGACTAGGAAAAGTGAATAAATAGAAGAAATAATGCGCATGTTGCACATGATTTCTATTGTCAATAACAAAAAAATAAAATATTTTAGAAAAGTGCATGCTTTTAACTAAACTATAAACAAAACAAAATTGTTAACAACAATAAGAAAAATAGAGACACCGAGTTTCAGTCTTAAATGTTCACCGTTTTTTGTTTTCAGCTGAAATAAAAAATGAATCAAAATAAGGCATATAATCACTACATACTGTTCAAATTTATTTTTAATTCGATTGTCTGTTTTATCAGTAAATCTCATCACTATATGTTGTATATATGTAAATCACAGAAGAAAAATAAATATTGTTTCTTATTATTATATAATTTTGTAAATCTTAGTAGATCTTGTTTATAATAATAGAGCAAATTTTTAATCTCTATAGATCATGAATATCAATTGATTTTTTTAATTTTTTTTAATTATAATTTGTTTGTTTCGTAGGTAACACGTTAAGTTTACAACGACGATGTTCATTACGATGAGCACGATAAGATCGTTCAGTATCAAATTTCTAAAAGAGCAATTGTATAAAAAAATGATTCAACAAAAATAAGAGAGTCTAGTTACCATTTGACAATTGTCAATTTTGCATAAAAAGTTTGTTTCATTATTGTTTTCCTCGTCCTAGAACAAACAAAAGAAATGTAATATCAATTATTTTTCTTCGACGCACATTATATACCATTCGATTATTATCACTAATTGTTGTTGACGATGACGATGAAGTATCATCAATTAAATTATTCTTTAAATTATGATGTTTTTGTTGAGAAGGATTAGAAGAACATTTAAGCGTTTTTGTCTGACGTTTTCGTTTTGTAGTCGAAGTCGATGAATTTAACTGTTTTTTCGGTATATAATAATATTCAATACATTGTTTAACACTTTTTGTACCGATCTAAAGAAACATTTGTCTATTGAAACATGTTAAAGCAAAAACAAAATATATGAATTATTTACATCTTTACTAACGAGTTCAAAATTCTTTTCATGTTTAACAATTGATTGATTATATAAATTAATTTCTTGTTTAGTCCAAATCTCACATTCTAAAACATTTTTAAAATAATGATCATTCTGAAATCTATTAAGAATAGTAAAGAATATATACCTGCAAATTTATATGTATGTATAGGTCGACATTTTTTGATTTTTGTCGTTTTTCCTTCAAGTAAGGCTAAATATGTCATTTCAATATCACCATCAAATTCGTATAATAACATGTAGATTAATTCTAATGGATATGACGCAGTTGTTGATATTGGACATAAAACATTTTTATTTATTAGTAGTCCAAATCGATCAAACAACTCTTCATTTATATTCGGCATATTATATGGACTAAATAATAATTCATCCAAATTATCATCATAAACACTCAAATCTTAAACAAATTAAACATTCATTAATAGTGAAAATTAAACGTTTACTAAATATTTTTTACCGTTCGGATTGCATTCTGGGATATTAACCTGATATTGCTCACCCACATTGATCCTCGGCAGTAAATCTTGGATAGACACGTCACTTTTTGGTGTAGGAATTAACTCATCATATTCTTGCTTATTAAATTCACTTAATATTGGTTTATTTGTCATCGATGTGAATAACTGTTGTCCTGCTTGAGGAAACATGGTAGTCGGTGTTGAAGCGGCTGTTGGTGTAGCAGAAAATACATGGTAATATAATCCTGGTCTAAAATAAATGAGACCAAAGTGAATATGATATCTTTTACATTCAACAAGACGAGTATTAGTGATATAAATTTTCACAGAGAAATAAATGAAATACGGGCTTCATAACTTACCCTTTTCGATAAGGACTCAACATAGGTGGTGGTGTGTAAGGAATAGAACTTTGTTGTCGACGCAATTGACTAGTTTGTGATGGCCATAAAAAGGATGGAGAACCCAATGGTTGACTAAGAAGCCGGTGGTAAGGTTCATTGGTCATCGTTCGAGATGCTAAAAATACAAAAAAAACATACATAAATTGATCAATAAATTATTCATAAGCATACTTGTCACAGTAATCGATGGAACGCGATCGTATTGAAAATGTTTACCATTCGACGAAGAGGATGAAATATGCGATGAAGCATTTGACGATGGTGTTTTGTCGCTGGAACTTGTCGATGAAATAAGAAATCCTAAGAGTTGCTTACAGACATTTGTTTCACGATCTCTTTTCTGTTCATTATTGGCACCGACAGAAATATCACAAGTTAGTGGTTTTTCATCAATATCTGGAACAACTTTTAATACGATTAGTGAATTTTCTACAAGAGAAAAACATGCTGTTGACAATGAAACAGTATAAGCCTTTTCATTTTTTATATAACGGTAATGGGACAAAGTGAGATGTGATTTTTGAAATAAAAAATCAATATCTCATGCAATTATGTGATACCTTTTTGACAAGATTTTTCATTATCTTCAGCTGTCACATTTTCAACTTCGATTCGCATGTCAGCCTCGTTGGTTTTTTCGTCTTCTTTTTCTTCGCTATTGGTTGTAAGAAGTGATGGTATACTATCAATTGCAAATGTCGTTTCAATATTGTGAACAGAATTTGGAGCAACAATAGTATCGATGACAGGTTCGAATGTTGATGTTGAGTAGGAAACTGAATTATTCTTCTTTCTTAATGTAATTGTCTTCAACGGGTTAGATTGGCGATTAGAATTACTTTCATTGTCCGATTTTGTTTGTGCTGAACAAGTGTTAGTGGGGGAATTTATATCGTCCATTGGAAGAGTGTACTTTCTTTTTTTCGGAACGATGCAGCTTAATGGTGGGGAAGATCGATGAGAAGAAGATGAAGAAGAGACAGGTGCTGGCGATGTGTGTTGATGAATTGGCGTTGTCATGTCTGAATTGTGGTCTGATACAGACTGTTGAGGATCATATGGAGAATGATGATCACTTAGCGGTGAATGTTGTGGTGTATTTGTGGTTGAGCAAGCTAAAACAGAGGAAAATCGGAAAAATAAGAACAGGTGTTCGTATATACAACACACCTAATCTTTTGAAAAGAGACTGGCTAGGAAAGCACTAAGGACATACAAGAGAGAATTTAGAGATTTGTTTGATTTTCGAAGATTACCGACTGATTTCACTTTTATTAATATAAAAGCTATAAAAACTTTAGTACAATTGCGGCTGCAACACCCTTAACTTGGCTTACCATGATTAAGAGTTTTAACTTGGCTTGGTAATCATGGTAAGCCAAGTTAAGGGTGTTGCAACCGCAATTGTACTAAAGTTTTTATATCTACCCTTTAATACCCTTTAATACTGAGAATGTTATCGAATATAAAAGCTCATCAGGGTATCTCTTTACAATATGTTTAATATAAGCCAGGCTTATATTACAACTTATTATCAAAAGACATAAAATATTGCTTGATGAGTTTTATTTTCAAATAAAACGAAACGCGTCGCAATCAAAAAGTAGTTTTATGGTTGAAGCGCTTTTTTTTCTACAGAAAACATTTAACTATAAAAGTCTAAGTCATAAGTTGGGTTCAAGGAGCCTTATTTTAAGACACTTGCTCTAGTATCACTCTCTATCTCTGTTCATAACAATCAGAAACGCGTCTAATAACAGTTTTTGTTTTTTACTCTATTTTCTAATTACGTACTAGTATAAATGATAATAGAATAGACCAGCCAAGAAAAGACTCAATATAAACTATGAATTCCGAAAAAAGAACAGCTCACTTGAACTCACTTGAAAGCAGAAAGAAATGTTTTATTTCAACTCGTTCTGGTCATAATCTTACGAATATAAAGCTATATTAGTTTTTCACAGTACATTGCTCAAGTATATTATCCTGAATGTTACTTTACCGTATTTACCTAGTGATTTATCGTTTTGTGAATGCGTCCGCTGTGCTTGTGTTTGTTGATGATCTATAGATCGCGGTGATAAAACTATTCGTTGTGGTGTTAAAGATGAGGAGGATACTGCGTATGGGGAAGGCTGCAAGCGATACGGACTTGTTGATGGTGTTCGATGAAAATCGTTATTATCATTCAAATGATAAAACATATGTTGTTCATGTGGTGAAGGAGAATGTGATTGATTTGGTTTCAAATGTTCTTGTAATGGTATCAAATCAGTTAATAGTTGATGTGGAAGTGGAAGATAACGTCTTTCTGGTTTAATTTGATTGAAAGGATTTTGTTGCTGAATAGTCGCTGCTTGCTGCATTTGGCTTGGTGTTATGTAGTTTAAAACGCCAAATATTGCACTGTTATCTGTTTTATTGTTATGATTGTGATTAGTTATTTGATTTCGTAAAATAACATCTGCATGCAAATTTGTTGTAGAATGTTGTGGAGCATGAAGTAATGAAGTTGGATAAGCATCGGCGTGTGATGGATGCGAATATTGATGGAATGTCAGAGATGAGTTTTGTGACGGTTGATGGTGGTGAGTATGATGATGTTTTGTTTTATTATTTCCACTGTTATTCTGTTTTTTAGCATAATTTGTTTCGTGCTGTTGTAATTGTTGGAGTGGTATTGAGTGAGAACCATAATTCTGACTACTGAAAGTATTATCACTGCTCTATTAAAATAAAAAAAATGAAAATAACTATTCCATTTGTTGTTACTTAGCGATGTAAAAAATAATAGATTTATAAAAAGTTACGGAAAATTTGAATGTTTGAAACGATAAGACTGCAGTTAGTACATGATATTCATATTTAATGTCGTTAGTGGAATATATACTCACTTGTCTATACATCTTCTTTTGTGAGTCGTGGTGCTGTTGCTGATACAAATGATGACAGAAAATAGCTTGTGGTAATGGATTTCTTTGTGTGTCATCATGTGATAATGGATTTCCTTGTGTCTCATCATGTGAATATGATTTCATTTGAAGAAATTTGTTTTCAGAATGTGATTTTCTGAGTTTTTCGTTGTACTGATGCTCACTCGACAAAAAACGTAGACCACCAGGTAAACCAATTGTGTGATTAATATCATCATGTGATGTATGACAGTGTTGTTGTCTGTGAGGGGATGGAGAATTATGATTTGATATTGGTAGCATGGCATTATCCATCATTCTTGAATTATTAGAAGGATGATTTAAAAGATCCATAGATTGATGTGTGGTAAGATAATCTTGTACATTTCTCATGTTATCGTTATCTTTATGATGACCTAAAGCAAAAGACATCGAATGAATAACTCGAACATATATATTTTCGGTGAAAATCAATTACATTTAAGCTAGACTAAATGAGAATCTGTTTACATCTAAGGCATCACAGATATAACAGATTTATTAAGTATCGTACTTATTTATAATTTCAATCTTGAGTTTTCTACTTACTTAATTGAGTTTGTATTGATAACGGCTGTTGTTTTCGATTTTTGAATGTTGGATTTAGTTGATGAGTTATCTGATGGTGATCTTGTTGTTGTTGCACACTAAGTGGATTCTTTATTGCATACGCGGGAAGTGCATGCCGTTCAATAACCGATGATGAAACTGATCGTATACGGGATTTATCATCATAACGTGTCGTAAATGGATGAAACGTTTGTTGAGAGTGGATGGACGTAAAATTATGAAGATAATCGTCATTCACATCTTCTTCTTCGCTTTTTATCTGTACCGAACGATATAATGGTGGACGTTTTGTTTGTTGTTTGTTTAATGGAGGTGATACGGAAGTCGTTGACAATGGCGTAGTGGATGATGAACAATGAGCAGAATCGGGTGTCAAACAATTTATGAAAGAATGACTGATGAGAGTTGGCGGCGTTGGCTTGTTGTTCAACGATTCATCAGGACGTTTACGCTTGGGACGACGTTTAATGTCGGAGTCTTCACGTGTAACAGTTGAACGTTTTTTCGAATCTGACAACTGTTGACTACTTTGTGGCTTCTACAAATGAAAACATGTGTTCTATGTTAAACAAATCTTTCATAATAATTATTTTACGTACGTTGTCAGTAGAAAATCCACCGTGTAATCGCATATGACCATTTAAAGCAGCGCCATTTTTAAATGTTTTCTTGCATAATTGACACTGCACGCATTTTTCTTCGTCAAATCTAAATATAGCTTGAACGGTTCAGAAAAGAATTTTAAACTGTTTAAGCCGCTTACGTATATGTTGGCAAAATTTTATTTCCCGCCTTTTGTCCTGTTCCTAAATCAACTTGTTGTTGTTGCTGTTCAAGATTTTCGGTTGATCTCAGTGAGTCATTTGAGTCCATGGAGTAATCTCCTTGTAAATTTGATGAACTTTCTTTTGTTTTAACATATGCTGTTTCAGGTAAGTATTGTTTATAATCATCATGACCGCCTTCATGTATGGCTGCTAATATATCTTGATGTTGATTTTCGATGTGACGTTTCAATGATCGAGCATCACAATAAGTACGAGAACATCCTGGTGCCTTACATTTATGGGGTTTATCTTCTTCGTGTGTAAGCATATGACCATGTAGATGATCTAATCGTTTAAAACCCTAAGATTTAAAATGTAAAAATACAATTATTATAAATAAAAAGTAACTAAAGTAAGAACCTACTTTATTGCATTTTTCACATTTATGTCGTCGATCTTGCGAATGTGTGAGCTTGTGTTTAGCTAACGCACTTTTATTAGCAAATATTTTTGTACAATCCGCATACGTACAACAATGACGATTTTGTAGAGATTGAAATGGATTTTTTATTTGTGTTGAACCATTGGTAGTCATAGGCGTTGATGTTTTTGCACGATTAGGATCCATTTTCTTACGAGTTTTTTTTTGTACAACAATCGGTACAGTGACAGGTGTCGTTGTTGTTCTTTGTGAAATCGATTCAACCTTTGTGCCTGAAAAATAATCGAAATAAAACTGATATTAATGACAAACATATTTGCATTGCGTGCGTATGATATTAAAAAATATATTGCCATCAGACTAGAGTAATAAAGATATGCCCTATATAAAAAGTTGATAGCAAACGTTTTGTTTTTACCGTTTTCATTTAATAATCGGTCGACAATCATATCGGGTGTTGTTGTCGTGTCTTTACTCTGTTCGTTCTCAATCATACAATCAGTATTTGTCATTAATGGCTTCTTTTTTGTTGTTAAACTATTATCATAATGATCTTTCTCATTATCTGAATTATTTATTGTTTTACCGTGTGAATGATGGTGATTATTCAATGTTTTTATTAAATCTTTATTTGTATTAAACACAGTATCATTCAACGTTTGTTGTTCCGTTTTATTTGATGTTACAGATGCATCAAATGTAAAATAAGATTTTGATCGAGACGATGTTTCATTGTTATTTAATTGAAAACCGGCACTATGCAATGGACTCGATTGATTAAATGATTGTTGAAAACTTTTACATGTTGACGGTGATAAAACAGGTTGGTGTTGCATGAGATGAAGATGATTGTCTGGATGATTGTCTGGATGATCGTCTAATGCTAATGGATTTGGTGGTGTGTTGAGTACTTGAGAATGTCCACGAATGTATAATGGAGATGTTTGTGAAAGATGTGGTTGATCTTGAGATGATTGTTTATCTTGGTCCACTCCACTAGCGGATTGTGGCTGGTTTTGTTGTTGTTGTTTTTGTTTTTGTTGTAGAATCGCATTTGAAGTAGCATCCACGTCAGCTAGAAAAGAAACATGAAAAATATATAATTAAAACCGATCTGTCGTAACTAACACCATAAAGAAATTATCAGCTTAAAAGTCATCTTACCAACAAGTGCATCGATTGAAGCTGAAGGATCTTCATCATCATCATCATTATTATTATTATCATCGTTGACGTCGATTCGATTGTTATTGTTGCTGGTGTTATTATAATGCATTTTTTGGTCATTATTGACATTTATTGAATGTTCATGTAAATGTGCAACCATTAGTGGATTGAGAGCATTATTTGACCATTGTGATGTAGCTAAAAGACGAATATTTGAGTTATTATTGTTCGAATTTAATGTTTTTGGTGTTGAAGCCCTACTATTTGTATGATTTAATATTAATGGAGAATGTAATTGAATTTGAGACTGTTGTGTCTGTTGATTATAAGAGTGTTGAATTGTTGACGATTGTTGAATTAACGCCATTTTTTGATGTCTAGGTGATGTAACGATAGAAATATTAGAGCTATTATTTGGTGAAGCTGGTACAGAATTATATCGTTGCACTGGTGATTGAGGTGGTGGAAAAGTGAATGCCGTGGTATTATTAATCAGCGTATGCTGTTGGTTAGGCGATGATATGTGTGATGTTAAAAAAGGATATGTATGAGGAGTATGACTACCGGTACGTTGTTGAGACTGAAATGGTGTATTGACAGTTATTGCGTACATTTGTTGTTGTTGCTGAATATGTTGATGATGAGGTTGAATTACATAAGAGGCTGAATACGGTGATGATTGTTCATCAACTATTGTCAAATCAATACTCAAGTCTTTTGGACGACTTGAACGTCTCATTGTTGAAAATGCAACATTATGATTTGTATGAAATAAATCTGTTGAATTATTAGAAATACCAGAAGAAGATTGTTGCTGTTGTGTTTGAGATCCATTGATATATCCATACTGTTGCGATGACTGTTGATTAACCCCAACAAGTGGTTGAGTAGTATACATTGCTTATACACAAAAAATATATATCACGTATACTTGTAAAGACGACAAAATCATAACAAATATATAGATGAATTGAGAACGTAAAAAACTTAAAATCACTGTAAAATGCACCGATACTTTAGTTCCATATATACTGGAAAAAAAGTAAAAATAATAATAAAAAAAATAGATAAATCTAAAAATGGAATATAAATATTATAAATAACATAAAACTATTATTAGTAGATAAATCAAAAGACGCCACTAATCAAATACTAATTTGGATTACGAAGAGTCAGTTGAAGAAGCAACAATCATCCAAAATGACTATGACTTTTCATTTTCTCGCTGTTAATCCGTGAAAAACATCTAAAGTTTAAAAAAAGATAGATAGTTAACATAGCTGAAATTTCATATTCTAGGACGAAACTGTCTATTAGAACTACATTTAATCTTTTAAAAAATGATAAATACGAGTGTATACATGCATATAAAACTCTATTAGACATACATTAACTTAGTATTATATATTAGTTCAATATTTCTGATCCACATGCTTCTGAAAATAAATTTTCCTAGTCAAAATTTTTAAGATAACGTTTATCTACTGTTCCCTATAAGTGTTTTTCCTTATAGCAAATAAGAATGAAGGTATGTTTATTATTTGTTTAAAATTACAAAATTTAGAAAAACACGCCTTCTTTGCCTTCAAATTGGTATCCGATTATTTACAATTAAACTTCTCAAAAATTTTCTTTATGAATCATAACTATAATAATCAACATATGCATGTTGGTACTTCACTTGATGGTTAGCAGATAAATAAACCTAAATGTATGTGTATAGTAACGAATGGAGAAAAAAAAACCTTGACAGATCAATAGGAAAAGAGAAGGAACTGATGAGTCACTATATATAATGTTATTTTCTCTTAAAAGCAAACATGCATACATATGATGAGAAGAAAAAAAATAATTGTGTGGTATTTATATGTATTTTTTTTAATGCATGTGTACCTCGTCTCTATTGATGTATCATACCTAAGGAGGATGAATAAAAGAAAGAACATCATTTTCTTTGTGTATAACAAATACAATTTTATGTTTTTTTTCTTCTTCTTTATATGTGCTAAAGGCACATGTTTTTGTTTTTTCAAAAAAAAAAATAAAAAACTACAATGAAAGAAACATATTGTTTTTGAATGTCAAAAGAAAAAATAATAATAGAATGATCTAAATCTACAATACAAATAAAATGAGAATTTTTATAAATAAACTATCGAACTTTCACCTTATAATATTAAAAAAAGAATTGTTGGGTAATATAAAATTTTTTATAACATTCAGTGTGCATAGTTTCATTAAATAACAAGTAAGTACTTGAAAAGAAAGTGGCAGCCGGTATCTATAAGAGTTGCAGTTAATTAATTTGTTTCTTTTATTCAATAGCCTTCATCATTTCAATGACTCCTGGAAAAAAACAAGGTTTTGTTTCTCTCTCTCTCTCTCTAAAAAGGAATATTATACATAAAAAATGAAAATGAGTTTGTTTGATCTTCGATAAAAAAAAGAGCTGGTAATGAAAACCTTATAACATAAGTACATTTTTTTTTTACTAACGAAAAAAAATAATTCAGATAGAAAACGTGTACTATAATACTATTTCACTTTTATTCTGAAAGGTTTATTAATTATGGAAATGATGCAGTTTCACCATCCATAAAGACAATTGGATAACAGAAAAATTCAGTAATTACCTCCCTCTCATCTAATCTATTTTTCATGGAAAATTTTTTACTTTATCTCGTTTAGGTTTAATGAAGAAATTTGTCTGTGATAATGTTAAAACTAATTCACAATTAGCTCATTTACATTTGTATTTTGTAATCCCTAGAGGACTTATAGAGAAGTACAATAAGATGTTTGTTTTATACTATCACGCAATAATAATTAATTGTCATAGGTTTGACATAGTCAAACAGTCAAATGTTCAAAAATAATGATGAACATTAAGTACCTTTTTTAATCATATTTTTGTATCAATAATCGGGTAACCGTTATCCTATTTAATCGACGTCTTTATATTTACTCTCATTTTATTATTTTTTTTTGTGAATAAACGTAATTAGAAATTGTGTCTGGAAAAAAAATAGTTCTTAGAAGATGAATATACTATCACTCGTTCTATTCTCTATTTCTTTTAGTCTAAGGACAAACAATTCTGATTTTTACGTTTTCTCTACTACAACAACAACAAAAAAAAAAAAAGAAAAAGAAAAAAAACATTTTACTTTTAGTCTTTTATATCTCTATTCTATTACATAATGATCCTACGTTAGTAGTGTGACATAACTTTAGACTTATAGAGTAAAACATTTTTTAATGAGTTTATTGCATTCTTCCTGCTTTGACAAAGTGAGATAGCGATGTTAAGTTAGAGTATAAGCTCATTAACTAATACAAATAACATCCTATAACAAAAAAAAAAGAAGTTTTTTCGTTGAAAAAAAAACCTCTTTCTAGTCATTCTATCTTTCCTTGAAACGTTATTTATAAATAGTGTTTGCAAAATAAAATGCAGTTAAACATTACATATAATTAGCCTATGACTTTTCTTTTTCAAGAAGTACTTTGATTAATCAAAACAGACTTTTCTTTTATAAGAGTTCATGAAAAAAACCGGGAAAAATTAAAATACAAGACATTGTCCTCTGATACGGAAGGACACTTGTCAGTCTTTACTTGCTAATCGCATATTTTCTTCTATTTTATACAAACTCAAACGTAAATAAATTAAAAATATCCATTATTGTCAATAAAAGTGACTAGTTTAACCTGACGACTGCAATTTATATTTGCGTAGCAGAAACACTAAGAACAATGGAGAAAGAAAAGGAATAAGTTCTTCTTTCTTTATTCATCGAATTTAAAATCTGTTCAAATTAATCAAATAAGGTCTTTCATTATTAATAATGGTGAACATCTGTTTATTTACCTTAAGTTGACAAAAAAAAACATTTTCGTGTTTATGGAATGTTGTAAGAAAAAAAGTCTTTGTACTTTTTTGCCAAAAATTACGTTGAAAATTCTAGAAGATCTCATTGACTATCCTAAACATGATTCCTCTTTCCAAATTCGATAAAAAATGTTTCGTTCATTAAAATAATAATTTCAAAGTGAAGTACTTTTTTCAGACATGCGATCAATCATAGATATAATTCAATAGAATAAAGAAACTATGCTCATGTTTCGAAATAGCTTAGGTTTAATCAGTAGAATCTACTCTCTAGAGGATATTTCTACTCTATAATAGAGATAAAAAGTGAAGGAAGTTCATCAATGAAAAAAATATATAAAAATTAAATGTGTCAGCTTTGCGGTAAAGATCTGACGTTAGCGTTTATATGTCCAACACTAATTTAAAGATCGACTATCTTTCTTTTTCCATGTCAAAATTTGATCATATATCGAGGTAAATTTGTGAAATATTATGTGTAAAAAATAAAATAAAAGAGAAAATTCAATGTACTAACTAAAATAATTGTCACTAAAGGCCAAACTTAGAATGAGCAACGTACTAGAAATTCCATTTCCGAAGGGAACTCTTTTTTAAACATTTTTTTAACTCTCAATATTTTTAAAGCGACTATAATTCACTTAACTCTAAGCGAATATCATTGGTAATATTAAACGATAATCTCCTCTCCAGAACCCTAATTCCTTTTCAATAGATTCGGACAAAAAGTAGAAAGATTTTTTTCTTGCGTCGTTCCACGAACTCAAAACTTTTTTTTTTTTTTTTTTGTCAAATAAATAGGTGTCCACCATTATTAATAACTTAACTCCATCATCTTAACACCATCATTAATAACTAATTAATTCGACGGGTAATGACAGGTTAACTTAGCTTCTTAGATTTTCGTTTTATATTCAAAATCAATGAAGGTTAAAGTTTGTCCATTTTCTCTTACGAAAGTAATAAAAATGAATTAATTCAAATTGTTTACTGCTGTTCCCTCCCACATAGAGAACACGAAAGAGAAAAAAAACATTTTTCGTTCTTTATTCGTTTTGTGTTGCATTTAGACAGAGAAATGACGCATCGTCATCAATAGGCGTGCAAATATTTTGGAAAATAAAGGAAAAAATCGAATGATTACTTAGAAAGAACAACTCATTGTGTATTCAATATGTTTACGTGGTAAATAAAGATAAATAATGTATAAGATGGGTGTAAAATACTATCGTTAGACGATAATATTATTAAAACATCAATACTAAGTCTAATCATAATCTACTTTTTAACCTGTAGTTTTCAGTGGCTAATTTTGACAATAGTGACAATAAAGTCTACCAATATATCAAGGTAGAATTACCATTTGTATTGAATTTGTAAAAAAATAAGAATTCATTAATTTATTTTCAAATCGAATTACTATCAAAAAACTTTATTGAGTGTGCAAGTTCAGCAACATCTGAATACGTACTCAGTATATCAGAAAAAATATTAAAAACATGTAATATAAAAAAGAAAAGTATACGAGATGTTTTTGTGCATGTTTTTTTTTTTAATTATTTTATTGATATATAAACAGAAAAGACATTTTTATGCACGGATTCTCATTAAATTAAAGCTATTATAATTGCCAAGTGTACTGTTCCGTTATTTGATGATTTGAATTTATGAACTACTAACATGCATTAATTATAATGAGAGATAATAAGTATAACCAATATATTTTCATAGTCATAGAAATATCTATATATGTACCGTTATTACTCTTTAAACATTAGAAAAACTTACTAAATTTTGTAGATTCAGTATACGCTTAGCTTTCTGTAGTTTGTTCAAAACGTGTAATTTAGCTGGATCCATAATAGTATAACCAATATTCTGAATAATATGCGTACTCTATGTATACTCTACGAAAAATTTGTACACTTTATGACGATTGTCTTTGCTGTTCATATATCAATAAGATTAAAAAAATTATGTACAAAAATGTTTTCATGCATTTTTCT